AGACTGCCTGTCACAGTCACACCTATTAGAGCCCGCCTGCCACAATGAAACAGCACATTCTGGACGTGATCATGAGCATAGACCATAATGATATTACAATACACATACCCGATTCACCCTGACCCCAGATGCACTCCACCGACCAAAGCTCAATGTTTGAGTGAATAAAATATCCTTCTGAGTGTTCCTGTATGAATGTGAGTGACATGTCGGGGAAAGTTCCTCATCACTTACCAGTTAGCAATGAGTGTTGGACGTCGCAGCCAGAGCTCTGTCACGCAGGCAGTCAACTGTCTCGTGGTGCGGCGGACGGGCGAGTCAGCGACAAGGAGCGGGAAATCGGAGTGAGAGTGAGAGTACGAGTGAGAGTGAAAGACGGAGTTGAAGAAGTGGAACGACTTGAACCACGGGTGAAGTCGCTCGAGTTCAATCTCCGCTCGAATTCAGTTCGCGTCAGACACGTCCCGTCCTTGATATTTCTCTAAGTCCCACAAACGGATAGTGGGGACTTGTGTAGCACTCCTTACGCCGTAGTACTACATCTGTTCCGGTTGCTCTAATCAATATTATTAATACCTAAAATACTTCGAGGCCTCAAGTCATCCTGTAGCCCAAGGTACAGCCTTTATATGCAGCGCAAGGTATCATCTCTACCTGAGGTTATGAGCTAATGTCCAGTAAAGCCCAAAGAGGATGTCAACTCGGTATCAGGGCGGTCTTGCTCAGATGTCCCTCGCTAAGTCTCAAGAAGACGCCGCTCTGACCTTAGCGCTGACATCTCAAATGATGGCGCACACATCTCTGGGCAGAAATGCCGAAACAAGGTCACGTCGGGGTCTACCGGGCCTTCCGAAGCAAGGTCGATGCGAGACCTCGGCTGCGACCTCACGAGAACCTTACGACGCATTGGGCGTGTAGGCGATCATAATTTTAAACCACAGGCGTGGGAAGCAAGTATGGGACTACGCGAGCGCAGTGCGGCAGCGTTGTTTCGATATCGAAACTGTCCGACCGTCTGTCATCCTGTCAGCGTTACCGGTATTTGGCCTTGTGTCTGGGCCAAATCTTGGAGACTTACAACATTAAGTATATTCAGTAGAAGCAACAGGACATCATCTCCGAGAGCTACGAGCGGGATCCCAGTTTCACGCCTACACCAATGGATTTGACGAGATGCGACGACTTGTGGTTCGAAGACGGGAACGTCGTATTGCAGGCAGAACAGAAACTGTTCAGAGTCTACCGTGGCCTCCTCGCGGACAGCTCATCGACGTTCAGCGAGATGTTTAAGCTTCCCCAGCCTGACTCTGCCGAACAATACGATGACTGTCCTCTGATTACGATGCCCGACTCTGCTGAGGAGTTGGAATACTTGCTGAACGCAGTATTCAAGCCAGGGTAAGTACTCTCATATCAGGAATATCACTGGACCTGGACCGTAGCGCAGCACTGATACAATTAACCCTCAGGTATCTCGAGAGCATGCTCTGCAAAAACACTGCCTTCCTCATAGGCGCGCTACGTCTGAGCACGAAGTACAACATCCAATCCATTCGTCGACGTATCGTTGACGAGCTTGCCCTAATCTACCCCCGTACTCTGCAGGGCTTCTACCACCGCGTCAGGCACCCAGTCCACGAACAATTCATCGGCAAAGCCTACATCGCAGCTGAGCTCGCCCGCGTTGGAGAAGCCCCGATCTTGCTGCCGGCAATATTGTACTGCTGCGCGACCTATACCACCGAGACCATACTTGACGACAACGGGCCGGTGGGGTTGAATTGGAGCGAGAAGCGGGCCTGCATAATGGGACGAGAACGCATAATGGTGGCATACCGCAAACTGGAGAAGCAGCTGAAACCGCAAGCTCTCCCGCCGACGGTGAATTGTGAGTTGCCCGGCGGCCAGCGATGTGAAATTCAGCAGGGTGTCTGGGTCCCTCTGTTGCAGAAGAGGAGGAAGTTGACAGCGCACTGGTTCATGCCCATGCTCAGCCATGGAAACGATCTTTCCTGGGGCCCTGGAGTTTGCTTCTCATGCTTCGACGCAATGAAGACCCTGTATCATAACGAGCTAAACGCGATCTGGGAGAAGCTTCCGGAATACTTTGGATTGCCGAGCTGGGAGGACCTGCGAGCCGCGTCGGATCTATGATATGTACGACTCCCTATTATGCTGTCTCATCTATATCCGCACTGCATGTATCATCCCTTCCGTCTGTCGCTGCCCTGCTAGTGGCGGTGAAGAATTCTTTCAACTCGTGCGATATGGCTTCACAGCCAGTCACATCTTCGGTTGATTTTACAAGGGTGAATTATGAGCAGGAGAGGTATGCAAGGTAACTGGGCCCCGTCATTACTCCCCTTCTTCCGTCCGGCACTTGAACATGAAAGCGTACACGTGCGCATTTCACATACCAGGCTACATAGGATTGATCACAGTTGGCTTCTGTTACGAAGCCTTTCAGGCTGCTCAAGCTATACGAAGGTCCTCCAAACCGTGTCAATGGTCTACGCACTTGTCTACCTCGTGTTAGACTGAGGGCTCTGAATCGTCCATTACCATAGGGACCTCCCCAGCAGACTTCTTCTCTCTTTGTCGTAAGGCCTCTTGCACAACTTCATCACGCCACCACTGAAAGGATGTCGTTGCAAAAGTTATGTGGCCGACAGCCGAAACAGCGCCCGTGGTATGGAAAGGAAGACCATCCCCGACGACCCAGACGAAGCTGCGTGTGCGTCCCACACCCAGAACGAGGGTCAAAAAAAATGCGAGCTCAATGAAGAAGATGCTCACGATCCCAGGATGCACCCCGCGATAGAGCACGAACGTAAGAACGGCAGCACGACTGGACGTATCCGCCGAGGTATGGAGGATGCTAGTGCAGCAGAACCCAAACCCGACATCGTGGTGTAGGGGACGTCTCCGATGAACAGGATTGGAACCATGCAACTATGCCAGCTTGAGCCGGTGCTGCAAGACCTGACGACCGACCTACTTACGTATAAGCCACCGTGAACGCTTTGTTCTCCCCAAAGTAGGGAAGTGCAAACCCGAACAATGCGGGGGTGACAGCGGCGAGGTAGGTTATGGTCATTATCTGCAGGACACGACCGAATGGCTTGGCCAAAAGCCCTTTCCAGCATCTGGGCAGATTAGCACCTAAAGCGCAAACTACAGGCGCACGTCTGTTGGGTACGTACCGTGCAAACATCAACGTCGCCAGCGCAGGGATGATCCATGGAATGCTGCCCAGCAGCAGGGTCAGCGCATCTGGCTTGTCAACGCCGACCGCGGAGACGAATATCAGAGGCCAGAACATCTCGAAGGACTTGATCAACGAGACCGCCATCAAGCAGTACCCAAGATAAAGCATCCTCAACACGGGCCGTCTCCGAGCGTACCACGGCGAACCTGCGTCTGTACTGGTTATATCCGTATCTGCAACTGCATCTGACTGCACTTGTCTGCCTATATGCCATTTCTGCATGAGCTCACGCTCGGATGGCAAGAGCCACGCAGCGGTCTCCGGTGATCCAGGCAGTCGGACCCATGCATCCACCGCGAAAATGACGATCAAAACTGGATGGAAATAGAATATGCGTCTGCAGACCCCAATTAGCAAGCTCTGACGCACACAACGCGCGAAATGCAGACACCTACTTCCAGACGACCGGCGCGAGATTAGTAATGCCGTTTGAAGAGAGAGTGGCTCCCGCGGTGAAGAGGCCGACAATGTTAGCTAGAGGTGCGACGTATGCCGAGGGCGGATGCAGCTCCGGTTTATCCCACTGCTTCCTCAGTTCGGTATGGCTGATGCCAAAGGCCGCACATGAGAATCCCAGCGCAGCACGCGCGGCACATGCTTGCGAGAATCTGGGGGAAAGGGCTAAGCGACAAGGGCGACGGTGACTGAAGGGGCACGCACGTCGATGAGACGCCTTCATACAACGGTGAGCACCAGTCAATCTAAGTCGGCGTGCGCCGAGGGTCGCTGGGCTTACCGGTGGCAAGGAATGCGACTCCGATACCGAGGGCAGACGCAGGGCCCAAGGAGGGCTTTGTACGTGCTAGTCTGGCGATCCAGCTAGCCGTAAAATGCGGTATTGTTTATTTGAATTCTCAGTTGAGACTCACGGTAGCTTTACCCACCTTTGTAGAGCGACAGCCAGGATCTGTCCAATCTGATACGCTGCGATCACGAGGGAGAACTTCACTGGAGTCAGATCCAGAGCCTCCCGGTAGCCAAATACTGCTGCGATTCTGGAGAAAATCAGATACACCCCAAGATCCTGTGTTGTGGTGATGGTCCAGTTGGGCACTCACGAGACAGCGTTGCGGGAAACCTGAAAATGAGTATCACTAAAATGGACTGTAAGAGGAAAAGGTGCGCTTACATGCCCAAGAACGGATAATGTCTTGAACGGGACCATCCTCTTCTCTATCTTCTGCAACAAGCGGGATTCAAGTTGGCTCTCAATTTCGAGCCCTTTCCAGGCCACTTCCTCTCGACAAGGATCACCATGCGTGGACAATGGCAGAACTTCAACCGGTCTGTCACTTTCGACAGCAGCGGACATGAGGGGTACAGGCACGTCGGAGGATAGCTGTGTCCGTGGTATTACCTACAATCCGGCATTTTATATTGTCGACCTTTCACGGGAGAATGCTGTGATACTGCGTAGTGCAGAGGGGCTCATCCAGATACGGTCTTGTCTTGATTACATCTTTCGACTTTGACAGCCCTGGTCCAGAAATAGTGCAGCTAGATAAGTCAGATTTCCGAGCGCAATGAAATCAGCAACTAACCGGCCTCTTAACAGAATTCGACACTACCACACTGCGTATGCTGAAGGGTAGGTCCCTTCAATCGAGCCTACGAATGTGCTGACCGTACAGTTCCGTACCTTGCATGGTTTATAACTGAAGCCAGCGATTCCGATGCTTTGGAGGACGCGTCCGAAGAAAGATTTTGATTATGGGACGTGCGCCAAGGCACATTAGGACATTTTGAGTGCGCTCCGGACCAGGGGACCGGTAACCTCACTGCAACCCGATAGACAATTGCACGCCACCCCCCCGGCTATTTCTTGACCAACGAGTCATTCACCAAAAAGACAACGGCCCAATCAGCGCAACCATGCGAGTGGACCCGCAATGGTCCCACTCTCCCTGTCCATTGGCCTTACAAATAGCATCATCAGCACTCGCGGCAAGCATGATGGTACCCAGCGCGCGACGGTGGCCGAAGTACGCTGCGGCGTAGATGGCAAGGCCCATGAAGACACGTCGCGCACGCCGTACACTGCCATCAGGCTGTCCACAACTCGCTTTTTCGCGGGGGCGGTAGGGTACGGGAGGTAGAAGAAAGCGAGGGCGTTGTCGGGACGGAGTACGGCATCAGCAAATCTTCCCATAACTGGTATCTGGATACCATTAGCATATAATCAATTAAAATAAGTACCGGTATTACAATATGTACCAGACTTGTGGACGGCTGGGCCAGCCATTATATTCGGATGGCACATGTTGCAAGACTCCCACAAGAAGTACAATATGTACCAGACTTATACATATTACAAGCTCAGGCCAGCTTGCTTTGTCCCATAATCAGACTATCAGCTGTCTTTTGCTTGATATTCCAGATCCCTGGAACAAAAAGGGGGGCATTGGCTGATGAACACAATAAACAGTGTATAATTGCTCAGACTAGCTACTAGACAGGATTTGCTATGGCTAGACATTCAACACAGTACTATCTGCTGACCCATACCCTCCACACAACCTACTCAATGGAAAGCAAGCCATGTCACTACAATAAACCAGATAGGGGAGATGAGAGACATACCTGGTGCACTAGT